TAAATATTGCCTATATTAACTAATAATATAAAATATTGATGAGATACGATTTAGGCGACCAGTACGCATTCGACAACTTTCCCCTATACAGGATGTCCCATAACTCACCTGACAACGCTCGTGGGCAGGTAGAGCGGAATACCCTATTTTTTAAATGTCGCTATTTTGTTAATTTTTAAAATTTTATTATATTTTTATTTACTTTTCCACAAAACATCTTTAGAACTCTGGTTTTAATTATATTATCGAATAAAATTTTATGTAAAAAAAAAAAATATGTATAAAATGTTTATATAATATTTTAAAAAATAAATAATAATAAAAATATTTATCATAAACATTCTGCGTTGTCTGGGAAATAACGTTTTCAATGGAATAGTCTCCCAGGCAATTTTAAAGCTTCCAAGAGCATTATTTTATCTTTGGTCTTCTGTTTATAAGTAATGAGAGTGATGAAGAAATAGAATGAAGTTTACTACAGCGCGTTAAGCGCGTGAACTTAGGCCACAGATAAAGTTTCTGAGCTAATTAATCGATTGTTTATGAAAAAAATTGGTCGCATCATATGACTTGATAACGTCACATACACAAATGAGTATATCTGCCGATAGTGGCGGGTTGCTGAAAGGTTTTAGAGGAAAATTTTAGATTTCATCCGGAAGCGCGTACATCAAAATGCGCGCAAAGCACCTTTGATGTCACACGTCGAGGACGCAGAGCCTAAAAATGGCAGCGGACGTACGAATGAGATAGGTTAGCATTAATTTTTTCATCTGATAAACATCTGATATTTTGCACAAGGTTAATATAATAAATTAACACTCATAATTTAAATTATATTTAGTTAACGAAGAAAATTTAATGTCAAAATAAGATTTTTCAAATTTTCTAACTCATTACTCTTTCAAAATAGATAAAATATATAATCAAATATATATATATACACACACACACACACACACACACATTATGTATATAAGGGTGTTTCATTTTAAGTGATCGATTATCTCGCGAATCGATGATTTTATTGAAAAATTTTTTCAAACGAAAGTTACATGGCTTAAAGGGGGACACATGATAGGAAAGGTGGACTTGACCTTGAATGACCTTGTCAAGATTATTAATGTTTTTTTAAATGGAAATCTCTATTTTTTATTACATATTCTTGTAGCTTATCTCGAGAGCTTTCCAAAACACTATAATTAAGTTCATTTTCATTAAGTACTTTTCGAGTTATGAAGCTTGAAAATTACAATATCGCCAGCATTAGCATTACACAAGGTATCCGACGGCTAAAACCTCTTGAATGTTATTCAGGATCATGTCCTGAATATTTGTCAAAATCAAGGCCATTGGAGATTATTTTTCTTATTTTTATTTTTGCACTAAAAATTTATTTTTACGTAAAAATGAAAATAAGAGATACAACCTCCAATGGCCTCGATCTTGACAAATGTTATTCAAGCCCTTAAGCCCCCTTTAAGCCATGCAACTTTTGTTCGAAAAATTTTTCAATAAAATCATCGATTCGCGAGATAATCGACTATATCACTTAAAATGAAACACCCTGTATATATATATTAAAAGTATATTATATAAAATTTGATACATGTTGCATTTATTAGTAGCAAACGAACGCGATAAATTCGTCGCGCAAGCAAGTCCGGAAAGTTCTGTTAATGTAGAGATTCGAATATCAGCATCCAAAACGAATCAAATATTGGATAACATAAAATCTGATCTAGAAACGGAGGAAAATGACGAGAAATGTGTCGATATAAAATCACAAGACAAAGATAGTACGTCTTATTTTTATTAGCAAATAAAATTCTGTATATCTATATTTTATATTAAAGAAAATAATTACGTTATAATTCATATTGGAACATTAATGACTATTAATTAATAACTCTGTCAGATGATTTTAGAATAGTGATATCATATTAGAATAAAATAATTTCAGACACATGTATTGCCTCAGGCGACATTTGTAGAATCTGTCACATGGGCGGATATGCCTCCATCACGGACAATCATCCATCATATGACACGGAAAATCTGATTGATCAGACATCGATTCTGTCAAATTTTGTCTATCTCGGTCCATTGATTTCAGCTTGCAAGTAAGTTTTCGTTTCATTCGAGAAAGCTAATTAGAAAAAGCTAAGATAAATTCATCAAATAAATTGATAAGTTTTATAGATCTCTGATTTCGAATATCGTGTAAGCGAATTATTTTGTCTCCTTTTTTTAACATAATATTATGTTTATCCTTTGAGAGTAATTTTTTGTTGAACATTAATATTTTTGTGTTATTCGCCGATTTACATATCGTCGTGTATCTTTTAGAGTGATATTTCTACTATACATCTCTCGTTTCGTGATTTTTTCTCATAGTGTTAATTCTCAGATGTGACGTACATTTAATTCAACATATCGTTGATTTGAAAAAATTAATATCCAATTTGTTGGACATTAATATTTTTAAGTCGATAATATGTCAAATTAAATGTAAGACATGCCTGAGAATTAAGAAAAACATTGAGAAAAAATTTCAATCGGAACGAGAAGCGTATCGTAGGAATACCGCTCCGAACGACGCGCGAGCAACATGTAAATTGACGAATTATCGCGGATGATATAGAAATCGCGCGATAAGAGACTCAGTTTAATTAAGAAAAGCGGCTGCGACAGATGCCGGGGTACAGTAGCTCTGGTGCATGCCGAGTGCCTCGAGAGATGGCTAACTGAGTCCGGTCGTGCGAGATGCGAACTTTGCGGCTACAAATATGCAATCAGGAGGGTACGGCGTTACAGCTTCTTTCAAAGCGTCGTAATATGGTTCCGCACCATAATAGCCACTCGACAGGTGAGAGAGATCGTTAACTCACTTTTCCACTTACATTCATTTTAGAAAGCGCTAGACCTAAAGCCTCTTTAATTAAGTCTTTGAATGGCGCTCTATCATTAATATACATGTAAGATACACTGCATTAAGCAGTGTTTTAAATCAATATTAAGAATATTATAAAGCTATAAAATGTTGAATCTACATGGAATATTATCGCTGTAACGATACAGAGTCATGTAAAATTGAAATTATCTTATAAGTTGTGACAGAACGTTTAATATAATATCGTTCTCCGCGTAATTAGGTTTTTAATTACTCTATTAATTATCTCTACTTAATACGTTCTCTTTTTCGCGAGGAGATGCTACTTGACATTGGGTATTTGGTAATGACCACACCTGTGGCTGTGTTTTCCTGCTATCTGTGCGCTTTGGCCTTGAAAATGTTGATGCGAAATGGCTTTTACGAGATACCCTGGATGATAGTCGCTATGCTGCCAACCTGCTTATTGACGCTGATAGCTTATTGGCGATGGATAATTACGTTAGGGAGGTACGCTATAAAACTTAAATCAGCTCGCGCTCGTGCGCGGATAAAAATAGTCGTTAATGGAAAATAAGTTAATTAAGGTATTACCCAGCGCGATTACGTAATTATAAAAAATTTGAAAAGCCACAAAACTATATTGTCTCGAAATTAATCTCATTGAAAAAATAACATTGATATTTACAAGGTTTTTGTTTTTCTCTATCTAAATAACGATTCTTATGTATTATATTTTTACCTGCTAAAAAAGAATATAAAGCTAAAAAAAGTTTTATCACTCACAGATTTAAAAAAATCAAAGACTTTATTTTTAAAAAAACTTTACAAATTTATTAAAGTATCATATTAGACCGTGATGTGAACACATAACAATTAAGAAATAAAGGCTAAGCGGTTAAGTTTGGATTTTCAGTATTGGAAATTCCGTGTGAATTTGTATACCACAAATCTAATCCTTCAAACTGCGCGCCGAATTTTCAGATATGAAACGCAATCCTAACAGAATTATAGCAAATTCGGTTACTTGCACTACACTAGATCAGTGCATACTAAAAGCTGCTATACACGAAATTAGCAAAGTTAAATGTAAAAATATGTAAATATTTTAAATGATTAATTATCTACTAATGATATTGTCACGTTACTTAATAATAAAATATACATGTATTATTTCAAAAAAAATTTAAGAAAAATTAATTCGGCACGCAATTTAAATGACTACGTAGATAATATAAATTTACATAATTATTTAGCTGAAGTTTAAATAATTTACGTAGAATTACTTAAGCTGCAGTTTGATCATTAAAAGTCTTCTTTCTTTTCTTACTGTAATTTCTAAAGATTGCCGAACATTGATAAAATCAACACATAAGACAACTTCAAGATTTTTTCAGAGTTCTTTATGAAATATCTTAAAGATATCTTAAAAAAAAACTTTTAAAATATATCTTGAAGTTGTTTTATATGTCAATTTTAGATATTCTGCTTATTGGATATCTAAAAAAAATTGTTAAAATTGCAAAATGCAAAGGACTTTTCGACTCATTGTCAGTTTAGGCCGCTCTACCTGCCCACAAGCGGTGAGTCAATCACTGTGTATATTACATATGTTATGAATTCGCATTATTATATAAGAAATTCAAAGTGGAATTTCTGAAAATTAAAGGATAATGAAATTTTTTAAAAAAACATCCTTTTTAACGTAAAAAAAACCCTTACAAGAAACATTATTATTTGTTAAAAAACAAAATATTAATCAAAATTGTTGTTCAATGTGATTAAAGAGCAATCTGCCCGTGTTATCGCAGAGATCAGCGAAAATCATAATTATGTAAACGTTAAAATATGTCCTTATATATTGCAGATTGCATGGCCATCGATGGAGACGTTACTGGAGAAACAACTTTGTGGTTCGTTTGATTCCCGACAACGACATCGAGAACAGTCTCGATCCGCGAAGCTCGAATGATCTTTTTAATGTGCGGGACGATTTTGAACAATGGAGACTCGAGGAAAACGACGAATTCGTATGACTTTCGACCGTGTCAACCGCATGTCAGAAATAACCTTTTAATTACGACAACTGTTTTCTATTTTTATATCTTCGTCTTATTGTCGGAATTTTCATACAGCTGCACTATATTTAATTGCAATTTATTAATTGGACATTTCAATTGAAACTCATTGCCGCGTAATGAAGGCAATTCGCTGTATCAAAGTTAAATTAAGATGTGCGTATTTCAGAATGCTTCCAGAAATTCACGCGTACACGGATTTTATAATATTATTTAAATATCTTGTACTTTTATATAATTCTAATGCTTGATTAAAATAATTTAAAGATTATTGATGTTTTGGCACTCTTATTAAAACGTCTAGTGTAACAAGAGAGAAAAATGTTTGATGATTCAATTGTATGATAAAATAATTATGATTAAGAGTTCAATTTTTATAGTTATTACTCTATAATATTAGTAATAATAATTACATTTATAATTCTACAAAAAAATATATATTGACATAAAAAATGATTACAAATTATAATGAAATTCTAGTAATTGCAACCATATTTTTCTCAAGTGTCGCTTTTCATTTCCGATAATTGAACAGAAGCGTCATGAACCCGTTCTTACATAAATAGTATATGAAATATTTTTATACGGACAACATGAGTTGGAGCAAAAGCAGACGCAAAAGAATAACAGGAATCAAAGGACGAGTCGAATGAATAAACCTGCTCTCGAGTGATCGTCGTGCAGGATCCCGTTGGATCTCACTTTCGTTTTATTGAGAGCGATTGCCCGCACGCGGCCGTATTATTTATGTATGCCTCGTACAGTGAAAAAGGACTAAATTCATTAATGGTCATGTTCCCGCCTACTCGCCATGTCGCGTCGTAAGATTCTCAAAAAAAAGCTTCTGAATCATCATTAATGTTGCAGTTTTGTCGTCGTTTACGTTTCCTCATTACAATAAGCTATAATATGTTATTATATCAAAAAATATTGATACGTTGTATTTTTTGACCATTATTAATATTTTTTACGACTTATTTAAATTATCTTAGCAGATAAAATTAATTGGATGTTTCGAATGAAACTGGTCTATTTAAAATGGCTGTGTTTTTTAATGTATCATTTTATCATGTTTTCATAATTTAAATAATTGTGTTGCATAATATACTAATGTGGAGAGAGCGAGAAAGGCCGAGAGAGAGAGAGAGAGAGAGAGAGAGAGAGAGAGAGGTGCTGAATATTTAATAGAATATATTATATATTTAAAAAATCTATAAATATATATATATAATGAAATATGAATATGTAATGTGAATATATCATATAGTCATATAATATTGTATGACTATAAAGTTAAAAATAAATAAAATGTGTTTTCATAATAAAAAAGTTATAAGTATTTTTCTTATAGCACAAAAAGACGTAGCATGACAATGTTAAGTTTATTAATTAAAAGTTGCTTTGTAGAGCAAACAGCAACTTTTAATTAATAAATTTAACATTTTCATGCTATGTTATTATTCGTTTTCTAAATATGGATTTGTTTTTAATTTATTTTCAAGACATCTAAAAGACATGTTCAAGATCCATAAAAGACATCTGTTAGATAACTTTCAAATATCTTTTAGATTTCTATAAGTCTCCAAGATCTTTCAGATATCTTTAAAATATCTTTAGATATCTAAAAAATATCTTAAATTGTTGCATAAGACATCTTTTAGATCCCTAAGGGCGGTATTCATAGTCAGATTTTATATTCAAGACGGTCTTATGTAAGTACAGTCTTAAGAAGTTACGAACCAATCAGAGAGCCGTATTTTAAAGTCTTAAGACATTACTTAAAGACAGTCTTGAAATAAGAACGGACTATGAATATCGCCCTAAAAAATGTCTTCGTAAAAAATGCAAGATATCGCAAGACTTGGTGAGATATCTTTTAGAAATCTAAAAGACACCTTTTCTATCTGGATAAATCGTGGTTAACACATTATATTATTACCATGAAAAATATTGGCCAATAACAATCAACGGTTTAAACGAGTTCGTCGAAAAATTTTGAACCATATGAAATCGGCCGCTTTTGTTCAATCTCTAATAACTGTTAGAATTGATTCATTATAATGCGTCGGCTCTTTCGTTCGTTGATGCCATTAAGCCTAACGATTTAATTAAGCATGATGCTGATCGATACATTTTATCACGTTTACACTTCTTTTATTTGGGAAATGTTGTATGTACTTACTTTTAAAAAAATTGAATTTTTCTCTTTAAAAATGAGATTCTCGGGATTAACACCAGCAGTTGCTTAATCGATTATCATTATCGATGATGATTTAACGATGTCGATAATGAGGCGTCAAACACATATAAAATGATTTTATTCAAGTAATTCTACTTGACTAGATAATCTAGCTCTCGAACCAGAGAAAATTGAAAACCATGGTGCATCGTTCTCATTAATACGTGCGAACCTAATTAACTTTGCTACTGTCTAATAATGAGAACCGCTGCTTGAAATCCCTACGACGACCTGCTGCATGTAGTTTACATTTTAATGCGCGATAATGACCGGCATCATCGTCCGGCATGCATCGTCGTTGATTCATGACGGAATAATTATACTTGTTCGAGTATCGCGCTTCTCACTTGAAAAAAATTTTTATACAGAAAATTTAATCTGTATGAAATACGAGTACTAATCTTCACTGATATACAAATGCGTTAAAATTAAATTATTAATTCAGAATAAGAATTCATCATTGCATTCACTCAGGAATATTCCACCTGGGGTGATTTTTACACCTCAGAAGCAACAAAATGAGTGCTTTTCATCTATATAATAACACCATTTAATGACAACACGTCATTATTTCTTTCTTAGCGTTTAATAAATAACAACCCATATAGCACAGCAGTGCTTGAGTTCTAGTAACGTACGCCATTAAAAAGAATAAATTTTTGTGTTAAAAAGAATAAACATTTGGTGAATTGATCCACAATTAGTACATGGGATCTAATTGAGGGGACGGAATAAAGGCCTAATTACATAATCTTGATTTTGATAAAAATTAAAACAACTTGTTACTTTTTTATTATACCACAAATGGGAACAGTATTAAATGTATATTTATATAATGTTTTTGAGAAGTTATATGTTATAATATTTCTCTATTATGATCAATATTTAAAAAGTTATTTGCAATTTAAAAAAATGCACTTAGTCTCCTTTTCCGAATATTGGTCATAATATCGTAAGAATCGATAGAAAGGAAAGACTATGAATTGCAGAAATGTTTTTTATATTCACATTTCTTCTAGAAGAAATACAAAATGAATATGAAATACATTTTACTTTTACTTATACAAAATAAATTGAAATAATGTTCAATCATCATCTGATAAGTTTTCGTAAGATTTTTTAATATAAATATGTTGTAATGAAAACGCATTATTGTCGTACAATTTTCGTTCAGTCTCTGGTAAAAATCTCATTAATGATTTTAAATCATTTATGCCCTTTTTCCATAGATTATATGATTTTCATCACCACAAAACAATCAAAACACGTTCATATTTAACTAATGTAAGCAACATCAATTCCTTGTTTATTTGCGCTAATCTCCGAAAAAAGGGTCTAAGTAGAATTGTGCCTTTATTCCGTCAATTCCCTCAATTGTGGATAATTGTCATTACTTTATTTAATTCACATTAAAACATATAAAACGGTAATGAAATGGAATAAAATCATCCATAATATAATCTTTATAATCAATCATGACTATTAAATATTTTATTAATTGTTTGATATCTGGATAAAAATATAAATTTTTTTTTAAAAAGTGATCCACAATTAGTGGTTTTACCCTATACTATTTTATATTCTATTTTAATAGTAAAACAAATAAATCTTTTCGGGATGGCATCATTTGTAAAATTTGACAAGTTTTTAAACATTTTTACAATAAATTTACGCAATAAAAGTATCATTATCATCGTATGCTGTCATACCAATATCTACGGATCTCATCCAAAATGATAGAAACATGTCAGATGTATGTATTTGCAAAAAATGTAGCGGAACAAGAAATATTCTACTAATGTAATGGATATTATGACTCATATAAAACTCGGTTATGTTTCTACCAAAGACAAAGAAGATTTGAATGAAAATACTGGAGTTGCGCTTCTTGCAACAGATATTTTAAATAATTTTAATGAACAAGCAGTTAATCTTTTTAACAATATATATATATAATGAGGATTATCACAAATTTAAAGTGTTTAACCCAATGACTGAATCAAATGTACAACATGATAATTTAATAGATGTCGTTGGGCATCAGAATCATCTGCACAAGTCAGTTTCGTTACCGGGAGTGCATATGTGACAGTATAATATAGACAAGATCAATTTATCCCGGTAAATTTAGGGTAGAAGATTATGCAGGATGGAGTTTACAAAATACAGTAACACATATTTCTGAGGAAACAAGTTTCACGAATAATATGAAACAGTTTAAAAATAATTCTGTTATTGCTTCTGAAGTATTCGTAAACCAATCAAATGCAGAAGATTTATCTGATAATAGCCCTGGTGGAAAAATTTCGCTGGAACACTTTTCGGCAAAATTTCAGCGTTTCAGAAAAATTTCAGTAACAGATTTTTTTCAATGTAATAATTTTTTGAGGTAAATAAGAAGAGTAACGGAAGGCGGAGCCGAGTCAAAATTCGGCCGAGAAATGCAAATCGTGCCGAGCCCTGGCATATACCTTGTGTTTTCCGTTATCTAGATAATTATATAGATGAAGAAATGGCTTTATCTTGTCTTTATCTAGATTATTAAGAATATAGAGTATCTTTACTCTTAAAGTATCTTATCTTAGATAAAATTTTTTTCAAGTTAACTAAGATTGTAGAAGAGTATTGTAAAAAAATTTCTATATAACTTCTATATAACTAATATTATAATTTCTATATAATTTCTATATAACTAATGATGAGAATATTTTTATGATATAGATAAAACTGGGATTAGTATGACATCAGTCATAATTCAAAGCCACATTGAAGTACTTTCATACTTTCATTTAGAAAATAAATCTAAGAAATTAGATATTCTTAATTTGTATCCACACGTCAAACAAATTTTTTTTAAATATAACACATTGCCATTATCAGCGCCAGTAGAGCGCCTTTTTATTTGTGGACAAGTATTAATTTCACGTAGAAACCGTTTGTTAGACGAAATGTTC